GTTTTGATGGAGATGTTTTGGTTCCACTGAGATTGTTAATGAAATCTTTCGGTCTGAAAAGGGTATATGAAAAAAATCCGTTTTTAAAGGTAGAAAAGAAAGTTGTTGTTATGTTAATTCAAGCAGTGTTATTTAATAGAAAATACAATTTTAGTGAAATGGAGACAAGTGAAATAACTCAATTTATTTCATCATTACCATTTGTTAAAATTATAAGAGAAAAAAATTTAATTGGTTCACTAGTTAGTTGTATTGAACAAAAACAATTAAATTTTGAAGAAGAAATTGAAATGCATATGGTAAAAGGATTAATAGAAATGAATGATATTGATAAAATTAAAATAGTTGCTAAATCATTTAAAACATCAACAGCAATAAAAAAGATATATTCATTTTTATATACAGTTAATCAAATTAATATTCCTTCAGTCTCTAATGAACATTTATTTCTTATTGGACAAATGGCAATTGAAAAAAAAGATATGAAGATGTTTAGAGGATTTATAAAAGAACAAAATGAAAGAAAAATTTCTAGTTCAGGAATTTTTTTATGGAAAATGTGGAACATAAATGAAAATTCAATTCAACAAGGACTTTTTGACTTATTTATTCAAACACTTCAAATATTTAAAAATGAAGAAAATGATATGTACTTTTTAATTACTATTGAAGAAGTAATTTTACATGAAGAATATTTACCTTATTTATATTTAATTATTAATCAAGTAATTCTTATATTAGATACTCGTTGCACAGCAATAAATTTATATCATTGTATTAAAATTATTTCTCATTTTAGTGGTACTGAAAAATCAAATGATTTAATTATTAAAAATCATTGGTATGAATTAATAATAAAAAGAATTACTGGAAAAGTAGAATTGGCACCAATTGCTCTTCCATTATTAATTAATATTCTTTCTTCTTTTCATTGTTGTCAAAATCAACAAATAGAATTAAATTCATTTTATAGTTCAAATCAAACTAATCAATTACCAAATTTACAGTCTCAATGTTTAATAAATAATTCACATATAGAAGAAGTTTTATTATGTTATTTAACACAATCAAAAGATAATCCTTCAATGACACTATCTATTCTTCAAGCTTTTGATATGGTTTTTCATCATAAAGCAGTAGAAGTTTCATTTGCAAATTTTATTTTACCAGCATTAATTTCATTATGTGATGTTTTTGAAAATGAAATGTTAATAATTAATCGTATATTAAATCTATTTTTCCAAATTGAATTAAACCTTCAGTCATCAATTAGTGAAACATTATTAATTCATTTAAAAGATATTGCAATAAAATATATAGATCAAGGAGATATTATTGAAATTATTTCTCGTATATTATTTGTTTGTATAAAACAAGATATTAATATAGCAATGAACACCAATATTATTTCATTAATTACAACAATTTTAAAAACATACACAACTTCTCCACAAATTATTATTTCAACAATTAAAATTATTTCATTTTTATATAGTAGAAATATATCTAATAATTATTTTCAACAAGAAGGTACTTCACTTGATGTTTCTATTGCATTAAAAATGGCATTAGATGATTTTAATATGTATAAAGATCAAGTATTCTTTGAAAATTTTGTTGAAGAATGTAGTTTTATTCTTGGACTAACAGCTTCTGCATGTGAAGATATAGATACTTTAGAAAATTGGTTAACATTAGTAAAAGATGTTAAGTCATATTTTCCTAATTCTATTAAAGCAAAAGAAAGTAGTAATGTTATTTCAAATGAAATTAATAAAAGGTCACCTTCAAATATGAAAACTAATGAAAGTAAAAATTCACAATTGATTCATTCATTATTTAAACAATCAAGTAACAAATCTTCTGTTCAAATTTTTAAAATTATTAATGAGAATGTTCAACTTTTAAATGAAGAAATAACTAAATTGGTATCTATATGTAATGATTTTATTTCATCTAAAACACTTCATAAAACAATTTGCTTAATTGCTCTTATTAATGCATTAAAACAAAGTGATATTGCTCAAAACTTAGCTATAGAATTAAATAAAACTAAATTTCTTGACCGTGCAAATAAAAATGAAGGTTCAACAAGATATAAAATACATTTATACATTCTTCAATTAATAATTCATTCATATTCTAATTCTCTTCATCTAGAACAAGAGTTATTTATATTATATGATTTATTTAAATCTGATAGGGCTATTGAAGAATTATTAAATAAATCAAAAAATCTCACTTCATTTTATTCAAGTCTTCAAACAATTAAATCTCAAGATGAAATACAATCTCAAGAATGTATTAACTCATTTTTAATGTTATTACCATTCCAATCTTTTTCTAATAAAAGTCTTATTGATACCTATTTATCATATTATATTACATTATTAAATTTAAGTATTGAAAGAGTCTTTTCATCTAAAAAAATAAAAGAAGATCTTATCTTATCATTTTTATTATCTGGAATAATTTTAGCACCTCCTTATGTCGTAATTTATCAAAACTTTGTCATTCGTCTTACTACATTAATTATTTCTCGTTTAAAACAAAAACAAGTAGTTCAAGAAGATATATTTTTAGTTTTATCACTTCTTTCTCTTTCATCTTCTTCATACGTAAAACAATTATTTAAATCTCAAAAAGATATTGAATGTCTATACAATTTCTTCGATGGTTATCATGATTTAAGATCCGTTGAAATAGCAAAAAAATTAATTGAGAAGTTCTCATCTTAGAATCTTTTTTAGTTTTCCTAATTTAGATATTTCGAAATAGTAAATTTAGGATTAACTATTTTTAATTCATGTCAAAATTAATTTATCATTACCAATTAAAAGAAGTTATCTGAGTATTTTATAACCATAAATTATCTTATTATTCTTCTGTTGTATATATTTATAGAAATTAATATCTAAAAATACAATATTCTAAAGAGTTCTTTTTTCACTTTAATGAGGACAAACTATTAGTAAAAATAGAAAACAAAAAGTTAATCGTATATTTTAACCCTTAAATCTTTAAAAAGTTAAAAAATGAGTATATTCATTGAAGACACTATCCAATCACTTACCCTTTTCAGAAGAATTAAAACTATAATAAAAGAATTTGATTTTGATGAAGGGATAGATTTTGTTGTCAAAGGAAACCGATTGTTTATACAATCATTATTACAAGATTACTTTGAATTAAAAGACAAAGACATTGTCTTAAAAGAACAAATCTTAAAAACATTTATTTCTATTTGTAAAACACATCACTCTACAAGTCCAAAACAATTTGAAACTCCTAAAAATTATGTTTTTTATTCAGAATGTGAAAAATATATTGAAAGGTGGTGTGAAATTCTTTGTAATAAACCAAAAAGTGTAACAGAAAAGTATATTTATTTATTAATTGTTCAATTTATTAATGAACTTATAAAAAGTAAGCAATTATCTCTTGTTAGTAAAATTATTTCATATGAATCATTAACAATAGTATTTTCATTAATCCAAGATGAATTCAAAACTTCAAGTATTTACATAAGATATTGTTTTAATATTTATAATGAATTATCTAGTTATAAATTATATGAAGAATTAAACCGAATTATTAGCCCAACATTTACTTTAAGTTTTATACAAAATACTCTTGTAAGACAATCAACAAAAGACCTTTATGTGTTTGTTTCTGAATTACTTTATGATTGTATTAAAAACCAGTCTAATGGTATTATATTTTCACAAGATGTTAATGACTTTCTTCAATTAGTTCTTGATTCATTAGTTAAACAACATGTTGAAATCAATTCGTGTATGGAATTTGATGATTTCTCTAAATCTCTTAATTCTCTTACTAAAACTAATAGTGGATTAGTAAATGTTAACTTTAATTGTTCTCTACCTGTTTCTGATACTTCACTTATTCCTCCATCACGTTTGTAATTATTTATTAAACTGTCTATTAATTGTATTAATTTTACTTTTTTTTTTAAGTTTTATATTTTACTTTTAGATAATAATTGTAAAATCGTAAGAAGAAATATAACCAACACAAAACTTTTTACACAAATGATCAAATTTATAATTGGTTAAGAATAAATTGATTATTAAATATTTTTGTATTATTTGTTCCATAGATATTATCAACCACCTAATGATTTATAAAGATTAATGTGTAATGTGGTTGTGTTTTATGCTAGTTGTATATTACTTATTGAACGGTTGTGTTAAAACAAAGGAAATTAATAATTATTATAATTTTATTATGATTTTAGTATCAAAATATTGTATTTTCTCTGCTCTGAAAGAAAAAAAAGAAATAAAAAGAAGAAAAAAGAACTTAATAATTATACAAGATGCTGTGGCTTCTTTTACTATTCCAATTAAGTCTTGGTGATCTAACATACTGTGAAGTACCTGAATTCACATTTAAACCAGTTAGTGGATATAAACCAGTATTACTTCAAATGGTATTTAGACATGGAGACCGATCTCCATGGTTAACATATAAAGGTGATCAAGCCACATACGACTGTGATATTTCACAACAAGTTAGATTTTTGTCTGCACAAGGAATGGAATCATATGAATTTCATCATATTAAAACTGAAGTAGATAAAGAAAAAATGGTTTTTGCTAAAGATAATATGTATGGTGGAAGTTGTCAAATGGGACAATTAACTCGTAAAGGTCTTAACCAACTCGCCACATTAGGAGATAAAGTTAGAGCTAGTTATGTTGGAGATAATAACTTTTTACCAACATACATGAATATTAGTGATATTTATGTTCGTTCTACTAAAGTTTGGAGAGTTATTCAAAGTGCTGAATCATTCCTTCAACATTTATATCCATCATATAGTCGTGATCCAGATGCAAGAATTAGAGTTAATACAGTTCCATCAGAAATTGAATACGCTGTATACAATGATTATGGAATGTGTCCTAGAGAAGCAGAATTAGAAAAAGAGTTATTTGATAAATGGTTTGTAGACGAATTAGATTTAAGACACAAAGAACCATATGCATCTATTCTTGCCAAAGCAGAAAGATTTTTTGGTGTATGTAATTATAATTGGTATGATGCATACTTTGATATTTTACAAGAAATTCAATGTAATAAATTAGAATGGCCTTGTATCGATACTGAATCAGGAGAAAAAGAATGTTTTACTGAAGAAGAATTTAATAAATTAGTTGAATTAGTTTATCATGATGGAGTTTATCGATTCTTTGATAATGATACTATTCCATTGGCACGTCTTGATGCTGGATGGTTCTTAAGAGATATTCTTAGTTTCCAACAAATGAAACATGAAGGTAAAACCAACGTTAAATATACTCATTTCCATGCTCATGATACAACCATTTATCCATTAGTTTCTTTGTTAGAAGGTGATTATTCATCATGGCCACCATATGCATCATATATTATATTTGAAATGTATGAAAAAGACTCAGAGTATTATATTAGAGTTGGTTATAATAATAAACTCTTAGATCTTAATTTCTGTTCAAAAGATGAAAATGGAATGTGCAAATGGAAATCTTTCTTTGATCATATGAGTAAAAAGATTCCTAAAAGCTCTGACTGTAATGCTCAAAATCAGTAATTACAATTTTATTTCTTAATAAAAATTAATCAATTTCTTCATTTTTACTTGTAAAAAATAATAAAAGAGGAGAATACTATTAAGATTAGAATGAAAAATAATATATATCTCTTACTTTCAAAGACAAACACTGTTTCAATAGGATTTTCAAGACTATCATTATCTATAACAGAGATATTTTCAATTGTTTTCCATTCTCCATTCTGTGTTCTTGCAACAAAAATGAACTTTTTTCCAAAGAAAGAATCAGAAGAAATAATATATTTGGCTAATTGGGCTTTTTTGGGATAAGCAATTTCATCACATATTTGATTCCCAATAAAACGGAATTCATTTTTCTTTAATTGATTGAAATATTCTGTTAATGTTTGATCTTTTGAATTATATTTGCTCTTAGTTTCCAAAAGGAATAAACAGATTCTTTCTGGTATTGTTTGATTTTGTAAGAAATCAATTAATTTTCTTTCGTCAATACTGTGATGAACTCTTGAATTTTCATGTACTAAAAATTTAACAGAACCATTAGAATTAAATTCTAAATCAGAAATAAAACATTCAATATCAATAACAGAACGATGCATTTCTTTCATTAACCCATAATCTATCTTATTAATTTCCGTATCATCACAATTTAGAAATAAACGTTTCATAACAAATTTTGTTCCAAATTTATAAAACGCAATTAAATTGGTTTTACAAAATTGGCTCTCTAAATGTCTTCTAAAAAGATTTTTATCAAATCCATTTGTATTAGTATCAAATAACGTTTTAAATACTAGGTAATTGTCTTCCAAATTAAGTGAAGAGAATGCAGTTCTTTGAAATACTGGTCTTTTCAATAATTTTTCTGGATCTGTAAAATATCCATCATTATTTGGATTAGAAATTTCTGTTTTTATAATATCTAGTTCTGATTGAAAATTTTGAAGTATTTTTTGAGTTTTTTGTTGAGTTTGCAATATTTGTTTAACTTGAATATTTAATTGATTTATTGAATTTAAAATTTGTTTTTGTTCTGTATTTAGATTTTTTAAACTATTTTTATGTTCTTCTAATTCTAATAATAGTTGTTCAGTATCTATCTTTTTTATTTTCTTTTCAAGTAATTTAATTCTTTCTATTAATTTTTGTTTAACTTCTTTCAATTCATTTATTTCTATTAATGTTTTTTGATTTTCAGGATTATTTTTTAATATTTTTATATCATTACCAAGGCTTATAATGTTTTGTTTACATTCATTTAATTGATTTTGTAAATTGCTAATAGACTTCAATTGTTTTTCTGTTTGAGTTATTGAAGAATTAATTTTTTGTTCCCACTTAATTCTTTCATTTTCTTTTGCCATTTCTTTTTTTTCAAATTCTTTTATCTGGGTGAACTTAATTTTTTTAAGGTCATCTTGAGAGCAGAGAGGTGTGTTGAGACTCATTAAATAAATCGATAAAATTGAGTTGTTAAGATAAAGTGTTGGTTAGAATGATGCAAAAAATGGTTAATTTTTATAATAAAATAAATAATAAATAAATTATTTTATTTTTTATTAGAACAAAACAAAAATAATGAATTAAAAAGTATTTTTGTTATTAATTAATCATTTAAAAATAAAAACCATGTTAATAAAAGATAAAAAGAGAAACACTGCACCAATATCAGTGTTGCTTTTTATCTTTTCCTTTTGAAGAGTTCATTAATGAACGTATAATTTCAATAAAATCATCTTCATTTGGGAAAGGATCAAAAGTAAGGAATTCACAATCACTTCCAGTATCTTTCCAAGCAATATATACTTTACCTTCAATATCTTTTTTAATTTCTATTAAAGAACTTATTTCTATATCAGTAATTCTCATCATATCAATAATCATTATACTTTTTAATGTTACCATCATTTGACAATCTTTTTTTAATATTGATTTAGCAAAACTTAATGGTTTTCCAATATCAACTCCATTCTTTTTTACATTATAACTAAAATGTGTTGATGTTCTTCCTTTTCTAATAAAGAAAATAACATACATCTCATACATAACTTTTTCCATTAAAGCACGTGAACTAAATTGATATAACCTACTTTCTAATTTTCCTTTATCTCTAAATCTAATATCCATCATTAATGAAATAGTTGTAATTTCTATTTTTTCTATTTGTTCAAGATTAATTGTATTTTTCATAATTCCTGTTATTGGATCTATGTTACATAATGACGCTAATGTTAACCGTAATATCCTTTCTTGACTTTTTCCTTTATTATTAATTTTTGTTACTTTAAACTCTCTTCTATCAAGTGCAATACTTTCTTCAGGTAACATAACATTATTTATTCCAAGTAATTCTTCTAATCTAACACAACTATCTACGACTATTAATTTCTTTAATGCCTTCGTTTCAAATAATGCTTTAACACTTGTAATAAACTTCTTTGCTTTCTTTCCCATAGAAAGAGAATA